GGGGTCTTATCTGAGGGCCAAGGCAATGCTGACACTGGGCCTCAAAACCATGAAAAGTCCTCTTAGAAGCCCTGATGGGGAGGCAGCTTCCATGGTCCCGAGAGATGGATTCTGTAATCCAAGGTGGGAATTTAGAGGCCATCACTGTTGTGGGGCCAGTTTGCCAACCTGGCTTGGGAGGCTGGGAGTGAGGAAGAAGGTTCTGGTCTCATAGCCATGCTGTATCATTACAGAGAATAGACCCTGTCACCAGGAAGCAACCTCTAAAGTATTTCACGGAGGTACTTGAGAGCCCTGCCATAACGTAGGAGACCTGCCTCCATCCTCATCCCAAACACTAGTCCGTCGGGAAGAGTGGCGCACCCAATAATAAGGGGCCAGGGATGCTAGGATCGACGTAAGAGCAGCAACCTCTTTATGACAAAAACAGAAAGAAAACCACTGCCTTCTCCCCCACTTTAAGGGACAAGAGAACCCTAGGCTCCGTGGATGAGGAGCTCTAGGAAATACCTTCGTCACAATGTACTAACAGTAGAGGCATATGTACATAATAAATAATAATATAAAATAAAGCATATACATTTGTAGATTTAAAAGACTCCAGAAATAAGAGAAGTCAATGGACTGATACACTCCACCTTCACAGTAGACTTCAGACATGGACACGCAGAATAACAAATCAGAAGCTAGTCTGGGGCTCTCGGGGGAATGAGAGTCCTGAGACCTTATTCCTTCTCACTCCTTTCTGCTCTGGGACCCTGAGACCAGCTCTGGATACTAAGGGGCCTGGACCTTCAACAAAAAGGGAAGGCACCCAAACCCCACTAGGTCTATATAAGAATTCTCTCCAAGGTAACCCTGAAGAAGAATCTGGCCCCAAAAGCATCACTTCCCAAGGGAATCCGTGCTGGTCAGATGTGGGCAAACACCAGAAGATACCCTGCCAGGCAAGGCAAGCCGTTCTTCCAGTTCATGTTTAAACTCTACCTAAGTGGTATTCAAACTCAAAGACATGTACTAACTCAAGTCTTTCTTATAGTACATGTTGGAGCTGTGTACATAAAAACCTTGGTATACAAAGTCCTAGAACTTTACTGTCTTGCTACTAGGACCTTTGTGTCTCTGTTGCTTCAAGTACAGTCTGGTATTTCCCATCAAAAGATATTTACAACAATTCTAGTGAAAGGAGGTCAGTGGCTCTAGCACACAGAGACAGAAAGCTTACTTGTGCTGAGCCAACCGCAAAGGTCTAAGAAGCCAAGAAAGTCCCCAGTCCAAGATGGCGGGAGGAAAGCTGTTCCAAGCCCTGCAGTTGCTAAGAACTGCCATCACCTCCTTCTGTCCCTTGGGCTGACCAGGGACTCTGGAACCTTCAGACAGGGCAGGACAACCAGCAAGTTAAGCATTCACTGCAGGAAAAAGCCTTGAGGGACAGTGACATCAGCAAACTTGGCAAGGGTACACCACTCACCCTCAGATGGAGGCAAATGAACCTCATCTTAGAGTTCTCTGAACTCATCTCTCTTCAGCCCACTTGAATACAAAAGAAATACAAAAAGATAAAACATCTGTAAATGGCCCTGAGATATAAAAATCCACTGAGTAGGTTGCTCATTGATAAATTTACATCGGAAAGTTTCTGACTCACCCCAAACCATTTTCATACTTAATTCTCTATATCCCTCCTAATTCTGGATTAATCTATTAACTCACACCGAGGTCCTTCCTCGCTGGGCAGAAACGCCACTAGCCCAGAGCCTACAGTGGAACCAAATCCAACCCAGAAACTGTGTCCTCAGAAACCGTATCAGCGCCCCAGAAGCCTCCGCACCCTGACTTGCCAGCTCCTTCAACCCCCTGCAAGAAAAACCCATCTCTGGAGTCAAAACCGACAGGGGAGTTGTTCTTGTTGCTCCCGCCATCAGAGAACCTGGGTCATGCGGTGTGTGCTAAGCCAGCCAACCCTGGCAGCTGCTGCTTTGTTAGGCCCCCTTCTTGCCCCAGCCCAGGTAAGTCTTTTGCTGGGGCTCCCCCCTGGCAAACCCTGGAGGAATCTTGGGAGCCTGGCCCAGGACAGGCAAGGAGGGCCACAGATGGCTGGCTGGTTTTCAGAAGATGCGGGCGTTAGGATTTGTTCTGACTTCTGACCACCTAGGACAAAGGCTCCAGCGGCCAGGGCCTCCTTCAGTCTGCTCCTCAACCTGAGAGAGTGTGAGAGCAGAAGTCTGTGGTCCCTGCTTAGCCCAAATTCCTATTACTTCCATTCCTAGCGAAAATGTAGTTCTACTTGTTTCTACCAGTATCTTCCTAGACTTGGAAAAGCTGGTCCTTCAGTCAGATGGTACTGGGGATAGCACAGGTAAGTAGTCTATTCACAGTTCATGTTCCATATTCATGTGGAGTTCTGCATTTAGCCTTTGCACAGAAGTTCCTTAAAATAACATTAGAAAATGGCATGGTGCCCTACTTCCTCCCACGTGGGGAACCCAATCTCATCAGCACGGGCACCAAGCTCTCTCCCGTTAGGTGAGGGAGGGAGGGAGGGAGGGAAGAGCAGAGTAAAGTGGTGTGCCCTCTGAAATGCAAATCATATAAGAACCAAGACTTAAACTAGTTGACTAGCACCCCAATATCCATGTACATACAAATCTTAATGTTGTTTTCCTAAAAGTTTAAATATATGATTTTTGATTTGCCTGATGAATACATGGAATAGAAAGAACCTGTAGGGAGTAGGGGGAAAAAATCCCCTCACTTATAAAGACAGAGCCCACTGTCCTCGGAACGTCTGGATACTAGGGATCCAGTCTCCGGTGGAACCTTTGGGATGCTACAGTGGCCGGAAGCAGGAGGAGGCCCTGCCTGGTCCCACAGAGCCAGGGCTCCAAGCAGGGGCCATGGAAGCCACTGCAGACAGGCGCTGGGTGTGACAACGGGGGGCTCCAGCAGCATTCAAGACCCCAGCACCCGCCTCTGCTCCACAGCCCAGCCCCCTCCGCACTTACAGAGCCAGCAGCTCCAGGACAGGATGATGGAGTCATGGTGCAATTCTAAGAACTGGCCACTGCACGTGGAGATCTCAATATCTGATGGTCCTTCTCTGCCGGACCCTGCCCCCTTCATAGACATGGGGCTGCACAGAACTTCTAAGCCAAAGTCATCGTGCTGCCCGGTGAAGCACGAGCCAGCATTTCTCCTTCGACGGCCTGAAGGTAGTTCCAGAGGGAAAGTAGGGCCTGGGAGAAGAATCTGATCAATCTGTTCACTCAAGACAGTGAGTGTGATCTGAAGGGTCTTGAGCTTCCCCCAAAGCAGATGGAATTACAGCCAGGAATCGTTTTCAATTCCCTGTTGTTATAAATATGAATAATGCAAGGTAAAGAGTGGTGTGGAGAAAATAAATACCATCTTGGGAGGCTAAAATTTCGTCCTCTAGGAGCCCCCCTGCCAGCACTTCTCAGCAGACATCTCAAAAAGCCGCCACACGGAGTGGGTACAAGCATGGGGACAAGTTCTTGGCTTCACGCTCAAGTCAAGGAGCCAGCAGCTGGAATCCCTGGCCTCTCACAGAGCTTTAGGATTCACAAAGGAAAGGGGGAGGGGCTCTGAAAAAGACCCAACACATTAACTCTGATTCCAGAAGCTCCTTCCAGGAGCAAGGCACCGTGAGATGGCCATGTATGGAAAAGCAGATCAGTGGAGAGAGGATGGGGGCAGGGGGTGCGGAGATCCTGCAAGTCAGAGGAACCACGGTGTGGCAGGTCAGGCTCCACCAAACCACCAGGAAGGCCAGCGCCATCCACACCAGGAGTAGGAGTGTGGTTGTTGGGGATCAGTCCTCTTGCGAGACCCAGGGTTCACTTCCTTAGTGGGAACGCTCGTTTCTACGCACCCTGGGAATAGTCCCTGTTCCCACGCCGCACGGGGGCTGTGCTCAGCTAGATGCGTCTTAGAAGCTGAGACCTTTTAACTTGGATGGATCGGTTTCTAGAAGGGGAAGCTCGCCGTGTGGGGTCTCACTAACATTAAGCCACTGAACAGCAGGGGCTCCAACCAGCGCACGTGGCAGGTGGGGGGCCAGCGGCTCGCCACTCAACACCCTTAGGGGGTGCCCCTGTGACCCTTAGGGGCATGGCACCTGATGAGGAAGATCCTTCAGGATGGACATCCTGGAGGAAATACTGTGGTAAACGTGCCTATGACACTGGAGCCACCAAGTCCGGCATGTTGTTGGTGACTCCCCAACCCCAGCTCCCGTCCGCCCAGAGCCCAACCTGGGGGATACATTCCTACCTTGAGGAGGGAGAAGGAAACTGCTGCTTGGCCCGGGGCTTCCCCTCGATGAGTGAGCCCCAGTGGAGAAAATGCTATCTTCTCGGCCAGTGACTGGAGGCGGCACGGAGCAGCCTTCCTACCCACGCAAGGCGGCCGGTACGACCTCAGCTCGGGAATTCAGTGTACCAGTGACTGCTGTCAACAAAATGCACATATCCCTCGGGCTAACGCTTAAGACAGGTAAGAGAGTTAAGAACTCGGTCACTCAAGAAGTACCTCCTGACATTAATTTCACTACACGTGATGAATTTGGTATTAAAATAAGGCGGAGACACACACGAAATGGCCACAACACACATTTGGTTTCTGAATCCCTGTTTGGGGCCAAACCGACCCAGGGCTGGACAGGCAGCCTCTCCGGCGTGGGCTGCATCTGAGGTGGGAGGCACAGAGGTCCTCGGGCGAGGAACACAGCACAGCCACCGCTGGGCCCTAGGAGCCCAGGGACAGAGGGGAAGAGGGACAGTGAGCTCCCTGGGAGGAGGGGCAGGGGCTGGCAGTCCCCAAAGTTCCCTCCTTTAAACACCTGGGTCTGGAAACGCCTTCTGGGCTCAGAGCACAGAGCGCAGCTGGCCGGGCCCAACTCCTTTCCGGTCAATGACATTTCCCGGTGGGAAAGGGAGGAGCTTGAACTCCGTACCACGCGGTCACTCAAAGGCCCCGTGGAAGATTTCCGTTTGGCATCTGTGTAGCAGCATCCTGGGTCAGCAAGAGCAAGGATGGGGAGGTGGGTGGCGGCGCTCTGGAGGCTGGGGCGCCGGGCCGGGGAGGCGGCCTGGCCGGGCCGGAGAATCCAGGCTGGAGGAATTGCGGGATGAAGTCACCTTGCCTCTTGCCAATGATAAACCATGGGTTTCAAATTCATTAACATTCATTTTGGTGATAAAAATTCCTTAGAGTAGGAGCAAAAAAAAATCACATTCCAGGCCAATGTTAAACCTTTCTGAGGGAAAGGGACACGGTTAGACATTAACTTAAAACAACACGGAGCTCACAGAGGCGACCGCGGCCCCGCACAGGCTCCGCCCCACAGTGGGACAGACTTGGCAGGTCCGCAGCCACAGTTTTCTTCATTCATCCTTCAAGTTCCACAGCGACACCCACTGGGCACGGAGCAGGCGTGCCCCTCCTGAGGAGGGCCGGCAAGGCTGGCAAGGCCGCCGGCGGGTGGAGCGAGTCCCTTCGGGTCCCATCACGGAGTCACGGCAGAGTTGAGACAGAACAACGTAAAACTCTGCAAAAGACACTGTTTGAAAACATGATCTCTTGGGGAAAAAAATTAATAAACTGCCACAATTTCCAACTTCATGCAAACTGAGGAAGGAGGAGAGTGAATAAAGATAAAAGGTACAACTGAAAAAATAAACATGATTCTATTTGGGTGGAAGAAGTTCATCTCCAAAAATCTCGAATGCCACGCCCGAGCCGTTGATGTCACACCTCTCGTTTCCCCTCCTGCCCTCACCATCCTCCGCCGCTGCTTCCGGGAAGGGGACAAAGTCTTTGGTCTCAGGATGTTGCGGGAGGCAGCATGGCACACAAGCTCACACTAATGGGATTCACGGTCAGCTGGCCTGGGGCCTTGGGAGTTGGGGGTGAGGGGCGGCGGGGGGCGCCCTAGATGGCCCCTTCGCTGTGCAGGCTGTGGTTGGCTTTGTTGTGTGTCACACAGTTCTGTTCGTTGAGCAGGTTGGCGGTCTCGTCTGGCAACCCGTCGTGCAGCTCCGTAAGAGTCAATTCAATTTTAGTGTTTTCACTGTCTGAAGACTGAGGAGTTTTGTCCATCCGGGATGCCATCAAGGCATTTTGGTATTGCTGTCTCGAGATCTGGGGCCAGAAGATGGTACGGAAGACAAACCAAGAGAACGCTTATTTTTTAGGAGTTCTTGTCTCGACCTCATATTACATATTAAAGTCCCCCAGAGGGCCTAATTAGTTTTTCTAGGAAAATTTCACTCTCAAATATAAACTGAGCCACTTTTCAAGTTCGAGTGGACTCTGGCGAACAAGTCAGTTTTTACTGATAGAAGCCATGCCCAAGTTTTCGTCCCACAATCTCACAGAGACTGGAAGATGGAGGTAGGCTTCCATCAGCTGAAGCTGGCTCGTTCTCTGGTTCAGAAGACGTCTCTATTCCAGACTAAGACAAGAACCCTGTCTCGGGGCAGAAGAGAGGCAGAGGGCTCTTCCCACCCCATCTCAGCAAGTCTTCAGGGTCTTGGATCTCAGCCCTTCCGGGACCGCCCCGACTCATGAGAGTCAGAGCTCACGAAGACTTGCTGAAAAGGGTTTATTCTTTTTCTTTCTCCAGCTCTCACACCTGACTTGGCAGCCATTCTGACAGAGCCAGAGAGACGAATGTTCTCCCGGGCCTGCGTCTCAGCTGGGTGCAGGAGCCAGAGGTGGGACACCCAAGTGACAAAGGGAAAGCCCCGGGGGCAGGGTTGGGGCGCCGGACAGCTTGCCGTGGAAGGTCACCCCCAGTGGCCAGGCCCAGCCAACCCACGCGCTCTCCTCTTACCTTCACGAACTGAAGGTCGGAAAGGGCCCGCACGGAGTAGTCAGGGATGTAGACTTGGAGGAACGAAGAGTTGAGCTGATTATTGCTGCTCCCCAGGGTCGGCGTTACAGCGTCAATCCGGTCGCTTCGGCTCAGAGAGTCTGAGTGGTTCAAAGCACAGGGACGAGGAGGCGACTTGTTTTCACCTAGAAAAGGAGAAAACGAAGCCCAGAACCTATTAAGCGAGGTAGAGAGAACCAACAATGTTGGCTATTAACTTTCCAAATAATAAAAAGTAGTAATTAACAGACCAGTTCAATCAACTTACACCAGACACCCGAGCACCGTACAGCTCACCACCTAGAGGGCCCTGCCCCCCAAAACCCCGGTCAGCCCGGGGTCTGTTCAGTTCCCCTGCTCAGCCCCATTCGTGCACACACACCGTCCTCCCGAGGCTCTGACCGCACCTGTGAGCCTCCCCAAGACACAGAAGCTCCCGGAGAGAAAACATGGGGCATGGGAGAGCAGCACTTTGTTATTTTGCCAGAAGCAAAAGCAAAGTACTCTGGAGAATGTCTGTAAATCATTGTGTTTTAAAGGGATCAAAAGAGCTCTCGAAAGAGTTCTGTCTGCTCATTCCATAACCCACCCGCCAGCTGAACCTATTATCTTTGTCCCCGACCCCCACGAAATCCCCAGCAGGCAGCCCGGGGGGTCTCAGCAGTTCAGGAACACCAAACTCTTAAAAGCTCTTAAAAGGCTTAAGGGACCATCGGTGCAGGGGAAGTCCTTGATGGGATGGGCAGTGTCGGTTCGTCCGTTAAAACAAAGTGCAAGGAAACTCAGTGAGTCCAGTGCTGCTGCTCTCAAAGGCAGCTCCTAACACACATTTTTGTTGAAAATAAAACCCACCCCACCCTTGTCAAAGCATCCTCCATTTTTGCTTTCCTATCAAATCTATACCACATATATTAAGGGGGTGTTCACACGGGACAGGTGCTGGCCTGCGTAATGTCACAGGACTGGAGGGGACCAGTTCTGATGGAGATCAGGCCCGTCCGTCTTCACAGTACACCCCTGACCGATACTCCCACAGAGGAGCTGGCCCTCGGCTGGTCCTGCCCTTCAACTCCTCCACGTCGCTCATCATGCCCGTGAAAATCACTGCCTCAGACTGACATGGCTGGCGGTCTCTCCTTCCCCTCAGACTGACATGGCGGTCTCTCCCTCCGCTCCTAGAGCTCCACTGAGGGACCACCACTCCTGTGCTGCTTGAAGGAGCCCTGAAAAGCCTGGAGATAGCTGTGTTCTCCTTCGGCCTCTTCTTGTCCAGCCAAATACTTTGACATCCTTTCTGTCATAAATGTCCCTCTTAAAATAGGACGACCAGAACAAAACACGGTAAGTACTCCGTGAACTTCACAGGGAGTGCTCCCTTTCTCCTCAAACTGCCACAGCGCAACTTCCCCTACGATCTTGTCCGACTTTCTACTGCTCAGAATTAAACTCAGAGTAGCCATTCCTCTGGTTGCTTCCACTTATCTTCTGAGAGAACAAGGCAAATGAATAATTTATCACGTTTTCTCTTGGCAGAAGGGAACTTTGATCAGATGACCCAACCCTATAGAAGATGGGTATTAGTTCCCGCCTCATAAAGTCTGAGGAGGATTCCAAAGGGGAGAACGTATAAAGTGCTTAGCACAACACCTGACACCTCACAAATATCCCATCAAGAAGCCTCGTTAACATTGTTCTACTTCCTGTTTGCCTCATCCCTGTCTCTCCACTAGGCGCCCACCCTCAGGTCCGAGCCTTTCTATATGTGTGAGAGCATCGCTCGGGTGGACAGATGGAAACGTTCTTTGAAACAAGGACCCCACTGTATCCCTGGGCTTTAACCCCAAATCACATCACCATTTCTATGGACAGTGTTTACTTCTGTGTGTTACAATGTAAAAGGTTAAAAAACCCAAACGTCCCAAGGGCGCTCTGCTTACTAATCAGACTACATCCGCACACAGACGGCAGAGGCCTTACTTCTGAGTCTCCTGCTCTTTCCTCCCAAAGAGGATTACAGGGCAATTTCTCTGGTTTTCTCAAGGTATCTAGACTCCTAGTCTGCTTCCTCTCAACCCACTGCCCTCTGGTTTTGCGAGATGAGCCCCTGCCTTTCCCAGGAACCCACAGCCCAGCATCCCAGCCACAGTCTGGGGAGGGAGACCCTGTTTTCTGGGACCCCCTTCTGCAGCAGTGAGTGTGACAGGGACCCAGTGCAACCAGCCTTTTGTCGACACACAGTGAGACCAAGGAGAATAAAGACTTTAAGTGGCCAGCCCCCAGTTCGGCTCATATTTTGCAGCCAAGTTAATGTGCTAAATTTTAATAATAATTATGATTTTAAAATTTCCAATTTTAATTCCTCTTATGCCTTCTTAGCACGTTTTTTTCCCCTGCTTTTTAGTTACTTCACCTAGGAATGCTTTCTTTTTAGGAGTAAGCCAGAAAGATACTGTAAAGAAACATTCCCAGCCTCCTCCATCGGAACCTCCAAGCATCATTTGGAATAGGCTGGAAATCACGGGTTTTGTTCAACCTCCACTTATTGTAATGCCAGCATCCTGAAGGCCTGGACCTAAAAAATGGTTTATTTATTTATTTATTTATTTATTTGGGGATCAGAAAGAGAAATCTAAGAAATCTCTAGTTCCACGGAAAAAGTAAAACAACAAATGACATTTCATGAGTGTCACCCGAAAGTCACTCTTCTTCAGCATCTGTGATGTTTTAAATGGGTAGCAGATGCCGGCAAACCGAACGGGCAGGAAAAACACCAACATACATACGTATACACAAATGCGTATTTCCGTGTATACGTGTGTGTGTTGTGGGCACAGACAGGTCTATCCCACCAGCTGGTTTGATTCACACAGGCCGATAAATAAGATCTTATCCCCACACTCCGCAAGCTTTTTCAGAGCAAAGACTTGAGGGAACAGTAGCTTCTTTCTAGGGAAAGTCTTGCCTGTTTTACAAAATATCAGCATTCGAGAATTCTGCTGAACCTGGATTAGGAAACGCCAACTTCAAGAGATGTGGAGACAGAAGCTGTGTGGAACGTAATAAACACAGAAAACCTGTACCACCGAAAGCTCGGCAATTTTAATTAAAGAAAGATTAAACCTTTGCCTTTCTTTCTGGTTGGTGGATGTTATTAGGCAGGCAGGACCCAGCCCTCGTGCAGGGTGGGCACCCGACAGCAGGCGGCAGGGAATGTGCACAGCACCAGGTTGGAGGGGGGGGCAGGAGGAGTCTGGGGGCCCCCTGCCTGATGAGGCAGGGACGCAAGTGCCCCATTCACACGGCTGCTGGGACAAAGACTCAAGGAGCAGAACCAAGAACACCAGGGCCTCTGCAAGCGCTGGACGCCCTGACTTGGCAGAGGTCCAAGAACCTAGAGCAGCCCCCTTGCGCTGCCCTGGAGACCCCGAGGTCAGCGGTATGGGTGCGCCGGGGAGGGGGTTAGTGACGGCCCAGGTCACCATCGCGTGAGCTTTCTGGGGGGTCAGCGCTGCTCATACCCACAGGCCAGTCGCCTGCCAGGCTCCGGAGTCTGCCCCACGCCTGCTGTGGGATTCTCCAGCCCCCGCACAGCTCAACACCGTGTCTGGAAACGTGCCGCCTGAGCCCTCCGAGCAGAACTGCAGCCTGGACCACATCAAAGGACCAGATCTGGCCAGCCGGGCTTCTGTGGGGTGTCAAGGGAGGCAACTGGAAGAATTACGAAAAGGAAACATGCAGAGTTACCTGGAGAACCTGCTGCTAACAACTCTGTTCTGCTGACAACAAAGGTGCGAGACAGGGACAAAGGAACTGAAAAATGGAGAAGAGCAGGGTGAGACCGCATCGAAAGGCAAGGAAGGAGACCTCTGCACTCGGGGCACAGGAGTGCATACCTGTTCTACTACTATGAGCATTCAGTTCCGGAAATTCCAGAGCCTATAGGATATTATGGAAATTAAAAAGGAACACACAGTGCTTTCCAGGAAGAGGAATACAGGGAGCCTGAAATCAGAAGAAATCCTACTCAAATGCTTCTCTACTAACCTAGAAATCTCTTAAGCCATTAATACTCTATTGGGGCTTATGGCTCAAAAACGTGCTCTTCTTAAGGATTTAAATCACAACGAGCCACAGAAAAGGGGGGCTCAATTAGTCAACTAGCCCAAGAGCATGATCCAAGCCACCCGCACCCACAGAGCCCGCGGCAAGCCGTCGCTGTTCAGCTCGCGGATATCCTTCGTCTCGCTGTCATTTTAACTTGATATTTTGAATTGTCTGGGAATACTTCGGAAGTTCAAAGTATCAGAGGAAAGTACTTAAAGAATGTTATGCACAGGTCTCTTGGGAATGGCGGACCAAAGGCATCCTCATCGCTGCCACCCAGAGCGCTACAGGCCGATCGGATTGAAAAGTCCAATCAACACCGCCCTCCCTGGCAGGAGTCCTATTTCCTGGGCAGGTTTTTTTTTGGGGGGGTGGGTAGGGGCGGTGGGAGGAGGTTCTTTTCTTTTTAATTTTAAAAAGATTTTATTTATTTACTTGAGATAGAGAGAGAGCACGCATGAACTGGGGTGGCAGAGGGAGAAGCAGACTCCCCGCTGAGCAGGGAGCCTGACGGAGGGCTCGATCCCAGGACCTGGAGATCATGCCCTGAGCTGAGGGCTCGATCCCAGGACCTGGAGATCATGCCCTGAGCTGAAAGCAGACGCTTAACCAACTGAGCCACTCAGGCGCCCCCTCTGCTTTTGTTTTTAAACTACAGGGTAATTGACTCACAGTTGCGCAGGTCTTGAAACTTATTACCGTAGGATTCTTCTAGGCAATCAACATTAATAAATATAAATGCTATCTTGAGATTAAGGCACTAACTGTATCTCTCAATGAATACACCCAAATTCTACTTGTCAAGTAAAATACTGGGCTTTGTAATAAGTACGATGCTATTGATGCCATCCTGTTCCTTCCTGGCATTTCCCGAGGCGCGGCTGCTGCAGCCCCACAGCTTTGCTGCAGAGGAGGGGCTGCTCCTCAGCTCCTTTTCTGGTGGGATTTGCCTTTATGTGAACCCACAGGTCGGTATACACTGGGCTAATGTTTAAGTTTCAAGAACCAGTGATTGCTAAGATTGTATCCTTACTCTTCTAACTTTTCTTTTCAAAGCCACCTTCTAAATCGGACTCTGCTAACCTGGGGCTGATTTGAGGTTGGCGGCCGCACAGCAGTCCCCAGCTCAACACCCAGCTCTCACACCGACATTTCCTCTGTGCTCTCAAGCTTACAGAGCACTCGCAGGGGGAAGTATCACCACATTCTCTTCTACCAAGTACACGAGGTAACCTTATTATGTCCTTTCGGTAAGGAGGAAGCCAAGGTCTTCTCTCAAAGGCCGCCGCCGACCACACGCACTGAGACTGCAGCTGGAACCCAGGGCCTCCCGGACCAGTTAGGACCCTCCCTGCCTCCTCACCCGCAGCGAGAACAGATCACCTTCAAGTTTACAGAAGCCACAACTCGGTGGGGTTAGACAGGCCCACGTTCACACCGATGTTAGTCAGCAGCTGACAATGGGGAGGCTGGCGAACGTGGCTGAAAACCCCACAGCAGGACAGTGAGAAGATGCATCTGGGGCAGGGGAGGCTGAGGGACATGAAGAGAACCCTCAGCATTTCCCTGGCTTCCTAACTGTAGTAACACCTTTGGGTGCCCGGGACACTGTGTGACGTGGCAGATGAAGCCTAAGGTCACAAAAACAGATGTGTCTGGAGGTATCCCCTCCCGTTTTGAGACTGGTTTCCAGAAGCCACCTAGGTTGTTTTAGGATGGGCTTTTTGAAAGTTTGGGTTTTAAGTTTCCCAGCACAGCATATAATTTGGTATGGTGGCCACAAGGTGGCACTCCAGCACCTCTGTTCACCTGTCGGCACTGCTCCAGCGGGGGGCAGGCAGCGGCACATGCATCCTGCAAAGCAAGCAATGCAGAGGGACCGTGGGGAGTCCGGAGCCAGAGCTCTCTGTGCTCCCCATTCCTACTAGATAGCGCCTGCTGGCCTCTGGTGCTCAGCACACTTAGTCCATACCCTAGGGCACAGCCATCCTCAGCTGGCAGCCTCACCTGACCGGCCGTCTAGACAAGAACTGGCTATAAGGAATAAACATCCATTAACAACCTTGTGCATCCTCAGAAAAATGCAAATTTAAAAAACCTCCAGAACGGTGAACATTTAAAAGACTTGACATCATCTAGCAGTGGATGTAGAGCAAGCGGAACCCCTGTCCTCACTGGCAGGAGAGTGCACCCCTCCAGCCTCAGTGGCCTGAGACAGGGGCGGGAGCTGCCCGGGCCATGCCCACACAGACTCCCCTCGGGAGCAGGCACACACTCACACACGCTCGCACATGCTTGCACACACACACACACGCTTGCCGGAAGACGTGCACGAGGGCATGCACAGCCACACAAAGCAGGGTAGCCCCCAACAGAACACTACCCCCACGTCCATCAGCAACAGACCAAGCACACCGTTGTGTATTCATACAATGCAACACTGCACAGCCATGAGAAGTAAGGTGTAAGCACACATAGCAACAGTGACAAATGTGACAAGGACAACACTGGGTGGGAGGAGCCGGACTCAATAGAACACATGCTCTTTCAGTCCATTTATACCAAGTTCAAAAACAGGCACAATTAGTCTATGCTTAGAAGCTAAGGCAGAGGTCTGGGGGACAGTGACAGAGAGTGTGGTGGCGGTGGGGTCTGTGGGATTAGTGACGTTTGTCTCTTGAACCGGGTGCCACTTCAAAGGGGAGCGCTGGCTTTGTGCAAGTTCATGGGGGGCACAGGCTTATGATTTGTGCGGGGGGAGGGAAGGTACTGGTATACATGACCAGCTTCAATCAAAAGTTCAAGATGAGGATAAATAGGAGAGCTGGCAGGTACAGAAAGGTGACCATGGAAGGGCATTCTGTCCTAAAACCCAGCCCTTCCCCAAGGGGCGGAGGAGGGCCGCTCACCTGGAGAGGCTGTGAGAGCCATCACACCGTAGTAGGAGAAAGCACTGGCTTCGAATTTCATACCTTCCTTCCCAGCTTCTACTTCCACTTTCCCCTGTGGGAAGAAAAGGGCAGGGTTGTTTTCAGTCCAGTTACACCAATCCCTCAGCAAACTCTTTTCAAGGTTTGTCCTCCCTCAGATTTTTGTCTGAATTCCTTTGCCAACCATCCCCAGGAAAGAAAGCCTCACATACTCTCCCACTTAACAGAGGGGGTTCATCCAACATGGACACTGGACTTGGCTGGAGATGCAGAAAGGACTGTGAATATGTGAGATTTAATTTCTGTGAGTCTGCTTAGTATTTTCCCAGCATCCCTAGTTCATGCCTGGATTCTTCGGGAACCCTCCGGTAATAAAAAGATGGGGCTCTCACCGCATCTATGGGACAAACACTGAAGAGGTGGTCTTGCAGGAGCCCGAGCTGGAGCAACATCAGGGTTAAGGGTTAACACGGTTCATGGCCATGGACTAAAAGGGCTCCAGGGACAGAACTCACTCTGGTCTCGCTAACACAGTGTCCTGTGTCTGTAGGTGGGGCCCCTTGTTGCCCAGACCCCCCACGGGCACCACACCTTCTCTGAACTTCCTCCTCACAGTCTTGCATCAGGACAAAACCTCTCCCTGAAGTCCTCCCTCGCCTTCTCCTCCTCTAACTCATCCACAGCTTCACGCATCAGTTCCTCGGGGACAGACTACGGATGCCTCATTCACCCTGCTAGCCTCAGGGTCCACCGCCATCCCTGATGGGCGGTGCCCAACATCCGTTTTCCAGGCAACCAGACTATCCTAGTAAGTTCTGCTTCTGGATTTCCAAGCCGAGCACAAGAACGGCTCTCGTTCGCTGTACCCGGAGCTGCCTCTCCAGTGATGGGGCACCTTCATGGTACATCCTTTAGGATAGTAAATAAAAATTATGGCACCCCTCGTTGAAGGGGAATGTGCTAACACGTCAGTGCTTTATTAACTCACTTAAGTGCTCTTAACTCCATCAAGCAGACACAATTGCCACCCCCTCCATAGGTCAGGAGAGGGGCTCAGAAGGATTAAATAAGCGAAGAACAAGCTCTTGACCACCATGCTTGCCACGCCACCCACTAACGCAAGAGAGTGAATCATTTTTCATTAAAAAAAAAAAAAAAAAGATTATTTTGATCATTCCAAATTCCCAGTTATGGAAAACTTTCCCCAAATCACTTCTTCAGAAAACCATCTACTGCCTCTCTTTTAGCTTTTCCTTTACTCAAATAGCAGTGTGGTCACTCTCCAACCAACTCTCCTGCCGTAGGAAAGGAGCCAACCCCCCCCCCCCATAAGGTAAAACCACCCTGCCAACAATCAGGGGCCCAAAACCCTGACTGCACAGGGCCCTAGAGAGGCCATGGGGTCCTGTGCGGAGACTGTCCTCGCCACCCAAAAGTTTCCCACGCACGAGACAGACGGGAGCAGGTAAAAGACTGATGGTACGAAGCGGTCAACAAAAACCCTCCATGAGGAAAAAGATGGTAAGAATCTAAGGAAATTGGAGAAAAGAAATTACTTCCTGTTCTCCTACACATTCTGTGCAGGAAGGAAAATCCAAGACTTGGATTTAAGCCAAGAGAAGGGAGGGCAGGTCAGAGGTGGGAGACAGCAGGCAGCCAGGCTCACTGGGTTTGTGCAGGAAGGCAGGGGGAGATGGGGCTGGGAGAGCAGTCTGGAGAGCTGGGGAGACCGTGGAGCTGGGACGGACTCGTGAGGCAGTGCTCGTGCACAGGGCACAGGGGCTCGGCTCTAGGAAGACACAGAGTGTTCCCACTGGGCTGGGAACCACGGGGCTGGAAGAAGGTGGCTCGGGCAGAAGCTATGGATAACGGATCCACATGGTTTGGTGGAAGCAGAAGGGAGAAGGAAGAGTAACGAGAGTTGGGGAGTCACGTGGCAGAAGTCTGCTCTGAGTGACCGGAAGACGGGCAGCAGGAGCCCAGACAGAAACACTGGGAAGGCGCTGGTGCATCAGCGCCGGGGACAGAGGGCACAGGACATCTTCCCTTCCAGAAGAGTCCATCAAGAAAGGATCCATCAAGAAAGTCTGAAGCGGAAGAATGAATGAAGATGAGGAGGAAGGTCAGGATGGAGATCAGGGAGGTGGAAAAGATGTGGTCACGAAGGGAGCAAAAGCCGGAAGCTGGCAGGAAAAGAACAGATGAGAGGCAGTGATCGGCTTCAGAGGCAGGGTCCCTAATAGAGGAGGAAAAGAGGACAGGCAGGGACATAACACTCAGAGCGAGCAATAAAAACCCAGTGCCAGATGGAACAGATCCTCACAGCTGCTTATCCATTTCTTCCGGCACTAACCCTTGACCTTGTATCGGGTAGTTCCTATGTACGCTTGTGGCTGTCTCTGGAATCAGAAGCCCAACAGCGGCTGCAGGACCATCTCATGACTGGGAATTTCTATGCAGAAAGTCAAGAGGAAGCATCAAAGCCAACATCAGGCTCATCACGACTTCCACCTTTATGGGTCTCCAGTGGCTCCGGAGCATTTGTTTTACAAGCTGCGAGGCCTTTGTATTCTGTGTCCCTGTAGAAGGGCCGCCCTTCCCAGTTCTGTATAATTACCGTCAGAACCAGTAGGGTAACAGCTATTCCCCAAAAGACTGTAACAATACGGGGTCTGCCTCTTGGGAAGGACCTTCTCCCAGACCAGGGCACAGACCTCAGGCGCGCTCGGAACCCCTGCCACGTCAGCTCAAAGGCAGAGATTCCCAGCTCTTGCTGTGCACTGCGAGCACCTGGGGATTTAAAAAACAAACCGAAAACCGGATGTCTGGCTCCCACTCCGAGGCATTCTGCTAGAACTCGTGTGGGTGCGACCTGGGCAGGAGGATTTGAATAAAGCTCTCTAGTTGATTCTAGCTTGGGGCAAGTTTGGGAATCGTGGCCACGAGGCTGTTTGTGAACAATGGCCCCAGCTCCAGAGCCTCTGGGTACCTCGGTCTCTCAGGAAACTCCCCCGGGAATCATGGTGGCTGTGAGTCCGCCAAGTGAACAAGGACAGCAGCACGAAGACTCAAAGCTCTGGACCCTGGCCACCTTAGTCCAGCTCTCTCTGCCCCTCGGGACACGCCTGCAGGTGGGGGAGGCTCAGCCTTCTCCTGCAGCCCACCGAGCGCACATCACCAGGCTGACAGCCAGTTCGCGGGGTCCCCGGCTCCTCGTGCGTGGTTTCCCAGAACTAGTAAAATATACCTCCAGCCTCAGAGATGGCATTGCCGAATTTGTGATTCACACCGATATTTTTAAAAACTCAGCCATCTCCTCTAACCACCATTTCATATCGGACCAGACATCTCTACCCCCAAAATACAGAAAATATGTAATTTCAGAACAGACAGGTCTTTAAACTGAATGTATGTAATTTCAGGAAGTTCTTGCTAGAGCTGTCTTTATTTTTCTCACTTTGTCTCCAACTGGTGAAAACTCTGTTGAGCATCAGCATGAAGGAACCACTGCGCCGCCAGACACCTTTTCCTTCATTTATAAAACTGCAGCAGATTATGGGATCCTGTGGTTCTTTCGATTCTAACTTTATAGGATTCTACAATTCCACATTTTGAAAACTGCCCAGACCTGTACTTCTCCCTACACAAGTGAAGCTCTTCTGACAGGCAGGTTTTAGAAACAACCAGTAAACATTTTTTATTCCTGTTTGTGCGTCAATGGCTCCCCAAAGTGACCATGTCCAAAGAAACCTACCAGTATGAAAATCGAAGCTGTCCCCAGGAGGAAATGGCTTGCATGGCCTTACGACTAATGTCCTTAGATAAGGACTTCTTATATAATGAGCTACAAACCAATTTTACCTCTGAAACATCCACAAATATACTCTATACTGTAGCAGCTCTCTCTCTCTTTCTCTCTTTCTTTCTCTTTCTCTCTCTCTCTCTCACACACACACACACCAGCACAGGACATGACAGGGTCCCAAACAGAGAGTCCGGGCTTCATGTTTAAGCTGACAAACGAGAAGGCAGGCAACCCTGCCTCAGGCAAAGCTGCCTTCCCAAGTCAAGTCACCATCACAATCGCCCTAAACTTTCTCTGGAAGAAGGTCCTTAGGGAACTCTCCTCAAAGCTCCTAAGCATCCAGAAAGCACTAAAAGCAGTCCCGTGCTGTGCCTGGCCACGAGGTAGGAGCCTGTGCTAGACTCATTGGCACAAACAAGATCGAGTGGTCAGTGAATGGCACAGACTCAGGAGACCAAAGCCTCCCTCGGGCCGTACACGCTGAGCATCAACATGGTCTCCTGTTCACCTTCAAGTTCTTTTTTTTCCCCTTTCCTTTTTTTTTTTTTTTTAAATATCACCATCGCAAAGTATTCCATGGGGCTTGGTACCTGAAAGGAGGTGGCTGAATCCCAGGGGTGCGGACACCAACCTAAGTTCACCAGCACCGCCCCGTAAGAGGGAGAACACGACCCGGAGAGGGTCTGTTCCTAATCCGGAGTCTAGAGATGCAGTCTGGGGACGGCACGCTCCCTTCACGAATGTTTCAATTTTTAAAAAAAGCTTCTGATGGTGAAAAATTTACACATATTTTAGACCATCTGGTTGACCATCTTCTAACCAAGTGCCACCAGCAGAGGTAGCACCAGGGCCTTAGGGCTCCCGATGGCGGCGGGAAGTTGTGCTTACGACCCAGTCCTCATGGCTAAGCCTTGCTGCTCAGTCAACCAGGTGTTGTCAGAAAGAAAGCAGCATTTCAGACTCCTCCCCAGCCCTACGGAGCCCACACGGGACTACTCTGCGTGTGCAAGTGTGAGGAGCCCTGAACTGGGGAGATGGGGACAGAGGAGGACCAAACATAAGCCAGTCACACCCAGTGGGTGCCAGATAACACAGCATTCTGCACAAACATCCAAAGGAAACTCAGATTGAACCAAGGGCTGAGGGGTCAGTCAGGGCTGGGCGCACGGAGGCCCAAGGATGCGGAGTGCAAAAGGGCCTGCAGCAGAGCCCCCCGGCCCTACTGGGGTCTGCAGCGCCTCCCCATCAATGTCGAGGACACATTTAAA